TGGAGACAGCCTAAGTGCCCATCAACTGAAGAATGGATAAACAAACTGTGGTACATACACACAATGGAATATTATGCTACCTTGAAGAATAACAAGGAGGCTGCAAGCCACTGCATAACATGGATGAACCTTGAGGACATCATGTTAAGTGAAATTAGTCACAAAAGGAGAAATACTGCATAGGACCACTACTGTAAAAGACTAAGAAAAAGAACCCATACTAAATTTTTTGCTGGCTACTGGGATGTGGGGAGTTGGGTGACGGGAAGGAGGGGACAGTGGAGCACAGGGTAGGGAATAGACACAGGATAGTTTGGTTGCTAGGGAGGGGGGCAATATACAAGAAGGGGAAGGGGAATGGAAAAACAAAGGGGATGGGAGAACAATTAGGTTTGCATTGGCTAAGTAGGACAGAGGTAAATAATGATGTATGTATGCACAACCTTGGAACAACAGGGCTCTGGGATAAAGGATTGAGACATGGTTGGAATCAGGAAAAGGGGGGAAATAATGTTAAGATGTTTGGCTGTCTTATGAATCTTGGTATCCCTGGCATACCATTATAAAATAGACACTTGAGGGGGAGAGAAAGGCTAGCCAAAAATATCACCATAGAAAGCTTGTAAGTCCGTCTTCTGCCTATAACTGATTGGAATACCTATAATGGGGCTACAACGTGCCCAGTCAAGGAGGCTTCCTGTGGAGTTTCTGCATTACATAAGACCATAGGTCTAATCCTGAACAGCATCCAAAATCTTCAGAGGAGGGAAATTTCCACTTAAAAGGACAAGCAGACCAGCTTGGAGTGGCCAGAAGAACAGAAGATACTTCATGAAAGAAAGACTGACAGGAAAAAGACAAAACAATATAAGCAGAACAACTGATTACTACAAGAACAAGCAAGTTGCTTGCCCTGGAGACATCAAGACAAGTGGTCGGGTCCCCTCAGAGAAAACCCCCTTTCAAGATTAAGACTCAATGGGAATACAATGATTGGTGGCCATGTTCGCCACTGATAAGGGGAAGTGAGGGAAAAACAGCAGTGACCCTGCTAGCTAAGCCTTACAACATTTAATAGACTCCTGCGAATCCTGGTGGAGACTTGGTTGGCCAGCAGTGTGGCAAGACCTGGGGACTCTTTGGACCAGAGTCAGTGACATAGCCACAGATAACTAGAGTGGAGAGTCAAGTGTCTAGCTAATAAGAAGAGAGGGCATATGCACAAGAACACCCACACTTGCAGACAATACCCACTTGACCTGGCTTCAATAACTGGTTGATCAGAGCTTAACTAGAAGAAGAAAGAAGAGGGATAAAAAGAATAAATGACCTACACTTATGGATGCAGTAGCTCAAAAGAGGGAACAAATCTTTATAGCAAGGATCATTCCCACCCCTCCATACACAGAGTAGACAGGGTTGGGCAACTTGGATATTGGCTACCCAAAATGGGAGGGTTTCAAAGGCAAGAAGTGACTGGCTTACAAGCTTTCAAGAGGGAATCTAGATCCAGAGGGTGTGGAGGAAGGTAGAATCTCCACTGAGCAGTATCCAATCTGTCTAGGTGGGACTGATGAAAGGAAATGCGGATAGGTCTCTTGTGATACAATAGTGGATAATTGTTACCAGGACTGATTGTGAGGCTTAGAAATGTAAAGGTAGACGTTTTGTAGCAAGGAGGGGAGTGATTAACTTTGAAGTCTAGGAGCGAAGGTCCCTTGGACCATCAAGGGAGAAAAGCAAAGAGCGGGACCATACCCAGAGAAGCAGTGATGCCAGAGATAGAGACAGAGATTATGATGTGGAGAGATGGAGCAGCTGGGGACTTTAGACCCAGAGAGTGAGAGAGGGAAGAGCTGTGTGCTGAAGACCGGGTGGGTGGGTGGGGTGGGTGTGGGGGGCAGGCTTGCAGGGTGTACACTGTGGTTAGTTGATGATTCATGGAGGGGATTATAACCATGGCAATGAAACAATGTATGATAGGATGAGTATAAAACTAATGTTCTCCCATGTAAATTATCACATAATTCACAATAAAACATTAAAAAAAAAAGAACATCTCCAGATTAGTCATGAGGTACAACACTGTCTGTGATATGATAATATCCATGTTCCTACAGACAAGGAGCTCTGGTAGCATAGTGGTTACAAATCGGGCTGCGAACCGCAAGGTCAGCAGTTCGAAACTACCAGCTGCTCCGCGGGAGAAAGATGAGGTGTTCTGCTCCCATAAAGATTTACAGCCTCGGAAACCCTGTACAGGGTAGCTATGAGTCGGAACCGCCTCCACAGCTGCCACCACCACAGGAAAGACCAGTTAATACTACTATTATTCAAATTTACACACCAACAACTAAAGCCAGTTAGGATGAAATAGAAGAATTCTATCATCTTCTTCAACCTGAAATGGATCAAACATGTTATCAAGGTGTATTGAACATTAATGGTGATTGGAATGCAAAGGTTGGGAGCAAAAAGGAAGTATCAGTAGTTGGAAAATATGGCCTTGGTGATAGAAATGATGCTGGAGATCGCATGATAGAATTCTGAAAAATCAACCATTTGTTCATTTCAAATACTTTCTTTAGACAGCATAAAAGATGACTATACACATGGACCTTGCCAGATGGAATACACAGAAATCAAATTGACTACATCTGCAGAAAGAAATGATGGAAAAGCTCCATTTCATCAGTTAAAACAAGGCCAGGGGCAGATTGTGTAACAGACCATCATTAATTGCACATATACAAATTCACAAGAGGCACTCACTCGTCTATGCCAAGAAATTTGGACGACAACTATCTGGCCAACTGATTGGAAGAGATCCTTATTTGTGTCCATTCCAAAGAGAAGCTGTGGACAGAATTCCCAACGGAATGTGAAATCACTGGACAATAATATCTTTGATATCCTATGTGAGTAAAGTTTTACTAAAGGTAATACAGAAAAGCCTGCAAGCATACATTGACAGAGAACTTCCAGAGGTTCAAGCCAGATTCAGAAGAGGCCGTGGAATGAGGGATATCATTGCTGATGTCCGAAGAAGCTTGGTTGAAAGCAGAGAATATCAGAAAGATGTTTACCTGTGCTTTATTGACGATCCAAAGGCTTTTGATTGTGTGGATCATGACAAGCTATGGACAACATTGCGAAATATGAGTATTAAGGAACACTTAATTGTGCTCATGAGGAATCTGTACATACATCAAGAGGCAGTTGTTCAAATAGAACATGGGAACACTGAATGATTTAAAATTAAGAAAGGTGTGCAACAGGGTTGTATTCTTTCACCGTACTTATTCAACCTGTATGCTGAGCAAATAATCTAAGAAGCTAGGTTATATCAAGAAAAACATGGCACCAGGATTGAAGGAAGACTCATTAACAACCTGTGATATGCAAATGATATAACCTTGCTTGCTGAAAGTGAAGAGGCCTTAAAATATTTACTGATGAAGATCAAAGAGCACAGCTTCAGTATGGATTGCCTCTCAATGTAAAGAAAACAAAAAGTCTCAGCACTGGACCAATAAACAACATCTTATCAATGAAGAAAAGATTGAAGTTGTCAAGGACTTCATTCTTCTTGGATCAACTATCAACACTCATGGAAGCAGCAATCAAGAAATAAGATGACGTATTACATTAGGCAAATCTGCTGCACAAGACCTTTTTAAAGTGTTGAAGAACAAAGATGTCAGCTTGAAGACTAAGTTGTGCCTGACCCAAGCCATGGTATTTTCAGTAACCTCATATGATGTGAAAGCTGGACAGTGAATAAGGAAGACCGTAGAAAAATTGATGCTTTTAAGTGATGGTGTTGGATGAGAATATTGAAAGTGTCATGGGCTGCCAAAAGAACCAACAGATCTGTGTTGGAAGAAGTGCAGCCAGAGTGCTCCTTAGAGGCCAGGATGGCCAAACTTCGTCTCTCATACTTCAGACATGTTGTCAGGAGGAACCATTCGCTGGAAAAGTTTATCATGTTTGGTAAGGTGGAGAGCCAGAGAAAAAGAGAAGATCCCTCAGCAAGATAGATTGGCAAAGTGGCAGCATTAATGGGCTCAAGCGTGGCAGCAATTGTGAGGTTGGCCCAGGATCGGGCAGTGTTTCATTCTGTTGTGAATAGGGTAACTATGAGTCGGTACTGACTTAATGGCTACCTAACAACAACATACATATATAGGAGTTCTGGTGTAGCACTGTGGTTTGATGCACCAGACTGGAAAGCCATTTGAACTGTAAGGTCGGTGGATCTAGCTCACCAGAGTTTCTTCGGAAACCCTATACAGGGTTGCTATGGGTCGGAACCTACTTGACGGCACTTAACAACAACAACATAGATATATAAAGTAGGAGTCAACTGTTTGAGGGTTTAATGATATCAGAAACTCCATGCTTTAAGAATGAAAATATTTGCTAAACTGTTTTGAATTAATTTAAAAATCTATTGGATGTTTGATGTATTGCATTAAATCACTGGTTCAAATTTTACTTACATTGTTGTTATTATTGTTGTTGGATATCCTCAAGTAATTAAATTAGATTCTGTTATTTTAATGAAATTATTTTTCAGAGCAGCCCACTCCTGGAGAATGAATATCAACATGCCCCAGTGTATGTTTGCACAGGATTTTGTATGGACAGTTACCTGTGTTAAACATATTCAGTGACTAAAAAGGAAACTAAAAATCGATAACACACAGATAACCTGCAAAGAGAATTCTTAACAAGACTCTTAAGCACTTTTTGCATGTTATCTTTAGGCTGCTATCCTGAAATACCTTCACATCTTAGAAGTCGTGTCTACTTCCTGGAAATTACCAATCTATGGGGAGGGATTCTTTTGGAAAGCCCTGGTATGGCGTTGTAGGATAAAGCACTGAACCGCAAGGTTAGTTTGAACTGCAAGGTGGGCAGTTCAAACTCACCAGATGCTCCTCAGAAACCCTCTACAGGGTCACTGTGAGTCAGAAACAACTCAATGACACTTAAAAACCACAACATGCTTATACAAAATTAGATCTATTTTAAGTTCTGGAAAATTTTAATTTTCTAATTCAATAAAATGTTTTCATTTCTCTTGAATTTTAGAGTGCATTGATATTTCCCAATAAAATATCAACTGAGCAGCAGTCTTTGGTGTTAGTAAAGAGGCTCCTAGCAATTTCAGTATCCTGTATCACGTATTTGAGAGGAATATTTCCAGAACGTGCTTATGGAACAAGATACCTAGATGGTAATGTGATACTTATTTTTAAACTTTTTAAAAAATGTTTTTACTTTTGTTTGCTCTAAAACTATAACCTTTGAATATAGATTTAAGTCTGTTTTTTTAATAATAGATTTAAGCTATGAGTCAGTTATGAGTCATAGTGACCCTACAAGACAGGATTATCCCCATCGGGTTTTCAAGGCTGTAAATCTTTACAGAAGCAGACTGCCACATTTTTCTCCCACAGAACGGCAGGTGGATTCAAACCTCCAACCTTTCAGTTAGCAGTCAAGTGTCTTAATCATTGTACCACCAGCGTGCCTAACAATGACTCTAAGATACAATTCACAGACCATATAATTCTGTCTTTCCACAAATTATTTAATTTTTTAAAAAAAGCTTTTATTGAGTGATAGTCTACATGGCAGAACATCAGTTTTGCACTCAACCAATCTCATCTTGTTTCATTGTAATGATTACAATCTCCTTTTTTGATATAGACAAGAACACATAGGAATATATAATCATTTAAACAACCAAAGGGCACCGTTTGCAAACCAGCCTCCTGTTTGTCAGCACACAGCCTTTCTCTTTCCATGATTCTAGAATCCTCAAATGGTCTATCTTGCCATGCCATCGCCTCTGCCTCCGTCTCTGGTGTTAGGAGCCCATATTCTGCTCATACTCTTCCCTCTTGCTGGTCCTAGGGTTCTCGGTACCTGGAATGTAAGATTAACTACTTCCCCTTTTTTTATTACACATCTTCTACCTTTACAATTGTGACAATCGCAATTAGTCATGATAATAATTACTATTAAAAGAATCCTATCCCCATCTTCTTTCACTTGACCCATCTAGACAAGATAGAAACGATTCAGTGTGGATTCTACCTTCCCCCAGTCTCTCTGAAACTAAACTCCTTCATGAAACTTCATACCTTTATATTGTTGTTATTGTTAAGTGCCATCGAGTAAGTTTCGACCCATAGCAACCATGTATAGTGTTTCCAAGGAGTGGCTGGTGAGCTTGAACTGCCAACCTTATGGTTCAAATGGACCTTGCAGTACAGTGCATTGATAGCCCCCCTATTTTAGGTATCCAGTGTCTGAGTTGCCCATCCCTATCAACACTGCGTACTGATGGGATATGCTTGCATCTTGATTTGAAGACTCCTTCCCTCTAAGATAGTATTTTGTGCTACTACATCTGTAAGTTATGGAATCCTGGTGTGGCACTGTGAGTAAATGCACTGGACTGCAAAGTCTGTTTGAATCACAAGGTTGGTGGTTCAAACTCATCAGCTGCTCCTCGGAAACCCTGTATGGGGTCACTATGGGTCAGAACCCACTCGACTGCATTTAACAACATCTATAAGTTAAAGTCAAGTTCATCAAATTGTAGTAATTTATACTTGTTTCCAGTATCAAATTTCTTTATCTTCTTTTAGTAGAGTTCTTTCTGATTGTCAAGCCATGCAAGCTAGATCAAATAGATACTATCTGCAAGTTTGGGCATTCTTGTGCACCTCCTCCCACATCATATCAGCTGGACAGTTTACTCTCAGCTCTAGATCTGCAGTGGCTAGGTCAGTGTCCACAGGCTCAGTGGTCCCAAGTCTCCTCAAACTTTGGGGCAGCCAGCCCTTCTGTCTCTCATCTCAAGGTCCCCAGGAGTCTGTCTTTCCACAAATTTTTGAAGCCCCCTTGTATTTTCCTTATTTTTCATACTAGGAACCTGAGGCTAAGAGATGCATTTAGTCTTTTTCACTGTGTTTCATGTTACTTCTCTGCAACATTCTTTGTCTTTGAGAGCCAGTTAATTTATTGGCCCTTGACAAACATTTTACCGGGATAAGGTCCATAACAAATATTCTAAGACTTTAGGATAATGAAAGCATTAAAGCATAGGATCCACACTGGACTTCGAACCACAGGGTCAGCAGTTCAAACCCAGTAGCTGCTTCTCAGAAACTCTATACAGCGTCTCAATGAATTGGAACTGACTTGACGACACTTAACAACAGTATAGCTTTTAAAAAAGACAATTTTTATACCCATGCATATGTATCTTAATCATTATTATACCGTAATGAGAACAATATCTCCGTATAGCCTTTCATCCTTATTTTTGGCTAATTAACAGCATTTAACAAAGACAGCAATATATGACTAATATCTATCATCTAAAAGTTCATGCCATTAATAACATAGTATATGGTGGTGGTGGTGGTTATGTGCCATGGAGTCTGTTCCGACTCATAGCAACCCTATATAGAGTTTCCAAGGCTGTAAATCTTTGTGGGAGCAGAAAGCCTCATCTTTCTCCCAAGGAGCACCTGGTTGATTAGAACTGCTTCTTAACATAGTATCTGTTGTTGTTGTTAAGTGCTGTTGAGCCAGTTTTGACACATAGCAAACCTGTATAGAGTTTCCAAGGAGCAGACAGTGAGTTTGAACCACTGCCCATGCCGTTCAAACAAACCTTCAGGTCGAGTGCTTATCCTACAGCACCACACCAGGATTCCTAACATAGTATATAGCTGGTAAAAAAATATTTATAAATTTCTAGTTGTTACTATTCATATGTACTGTTCTTAAAATAATGGTCTTTATATCATCATTTTTGTGTTTAGATTTTTCTGTCAAAATTCTGAGAGAAGATAAAAATTGTCCAGGATCTACACAGTTAGTGAAGTGGTAAGTAAAAGAACACTTAAAGATAGAAAAAAAATTTTTTTTTCATAAATCTTATTTTTTTTTCTCTTGCTTAACTCAATTTTAGTGATTCCTCTTTTAACACTGGACACTGATACTGCAAATATTTGCATTAGTTTCCATTTTTCATGCCCACAGAAGCGTAGTATTTTCAGGCCCAATTTTTCTATTATTGCTGTCCAAAAATAGCTTACATATTTTATGTTCCCTACCAGCATTTTATATTCTGCCACATTGTTTTTTGTTTGTGTATGTATGTTTGATCTAGTTAATTAGAAGAGAACTTGAATAAGAAATTGTGTATTAGTTAGTATTGAGGTACTATGGATATTTGTGAAAAGAACTTTATTCTCTAGAAATGCATTCCATCTAAATAAGAAACTTTCTTTTTCTAGGATGCTAGGTTGCTATGATGCCTTACAGAAAAAATATGTAAGTTTTTTACTATCTTTTTTTTTTTTTTTTACAGTTTACATTCAGCATTTCTAACAGCAATTACTTTGTAGTTTAACTAACTTGGGCAGAGGCCAGTATAAATTACTAAAAAGTTTGAACATTTAAATATTTTAAAACAAATATTAGCTCCTGTAAAGCTAGTGAAATTAATAAACAAAATTTGCCAAGCCAGTCTTGATTGTTTAAGAATCATTGTATTAGTAACACATATTAATTTATGAAAATTAATGATTTTTAAGTCTTTAAAAATATGTATTCACTTAATTCCACATGCTTTCTACTTTGTTTATACTATTAATTTAATAACTATTTCTTTATAAGCATTCAAACATCAATTTCCATATACTTATGGAGTCAATTCTGACTCAGAAAGACCCTATAGCACAGAGTAGAATAGCTCCACAGGGTTTCCAAGGCTGTAAGTCTTTACCGAAGCAGACTGCTTCATCTTTCTCCCGAGGAGCAGCTGGTCTAGGTTAAATTTATCATAAATTCTGAATTAATGAAATTTCAACTCATGAGGTCTTATTATAGATTTAGGAGCCTTTTTGCATACTTAGTATATGTTTATCAGCATATATAAAGAAGTCCAGCCCTGGGAAAAATTGTGAAGAGGACACATTTTTTAACCATGGTTCCTAACCACCCTTTTACAGGCACAGAGTAAGCATTGCGTGCTTGTTATATGCTAAATAGATATTCTGGGTAGAAGCTGGGTAAGTTCGTAATGGTCAACAAGACAAAAAGGATCCCTTCTATTGTGGGAAAACAGTCATTTAAACAGTCATCAGATAATTCCCAATAGTGTTAAATGCCATTAAAATTCTTAGAAAAAGTGATGAAGTAAATGAAGAGATAGGGGGAATGTCTCTGAGGAGGTGGCATTTAAACTGAGACCTGAATAAGAAGAAACCAGCCAGACAATGATTTGGAGAGGGAATATTACTGGCAAAGAGGAATACAAAATCTTGGATGGGAATTAGAGAGTTCAAGGGGAAAAAAGGTTAGTATGACTAGAGTACAATGAATAGTGAAGGAGAGTTGCCTAGAGGGATAGGCAGGTATTTGGGACTGAGTAGGTAAGGATTTTTATAGTAGATGCAAAGAAAGTCTGTTTTAAGTTTTTAAGTAAATATGTAACAACATCTTATTTGTATTTGAATGTTTTTAAAATCACTCTGACTGCTATTTAAAGAACCTACTGTAGAAAGAGAATTAAGATTGTAATACAGAGAACAGCACTGAGGCCATTACTATAGTCCTCATGAAAAGTAATGGTCGTTTAAGCAAGGACATCAACTAAAAAAAAAAAAAAAAACACAGGTGTAAGTAGAGTTATTTCAATCTGTTGATGGATTGCTTGTGGAATATAAGATCAAAATCAATGACTTAGATTTTTGGCAGATCACTTGAGTAAGTAATTTCCTATGATTTTCCTGGTCATAAGATCTCTAAAGTCTTTTTCCTTTCTTATGTGTTAAGCATCATGAACTCTTTACTTTTTACTCTTTTCCAAACATATGCTCACATTGGCAAATTTTAAATGTGTTATTTTACAATACAACATATATTTTCCTTTTAATTGCTTGTAATGCCCTTGTTTGCTTAAGTCAATAAAATAAAGTGCAGGCATGAATTTCAACTATCAGTATGTCAAATATGAATAGATATTTTAGGGTACAAGGAAACATGAACAGTATTATCTTTTGTGTGTGATATGAAGCTTATCTTCTACAATACTTATTTAGGAATAAATGTTTAAATAAGACAAACAATTCTTATGATCAATCATAAAAAATGTTTTATAAAATACAAGTAAGATTTTTTTTCTGTGTTGTATTTCAGCTAAGGATGGTTGTTCTAGCTGTAAGTATTTTAAGACATGTTCTTTTTCCAAATTATCAAATGTGACCTTGATTAATTAAATAACACTGAAACCATCAATAGATTATGTCAATTTATTCAAACAACTGATTTATTAGAAACAATAACAAACTAATATTTAGGAAGGTTGCTTTTTTTTTTTTTTTTTTTTCTCTCTGCTTTGTTGAGTTCACTTAATAATTTAACCTAAATATTCAATTTAGTACTTCTTGAATACATAGCCCTAGAAAACTCATGTGTAAATTATTTTTAAATAGGTGTACACCAATCCAGAAGACCCACAGGTAGGTGTGCTTGAGTTTGTAAAGAAATATAATACCTCTAATGTCTAAAAAGAATATAAAACTCTGATAGAATCTTACACTTTTAATTGTGCTTTAACCAATACACTTTCATGAATTTTTCCACATTTGAACTTTTCTGAGATAAAGCATGATCTGTATTGTTAACTCTAATCAGATTAATAAATTTAATGCAAGAGAGATTGTAACTGATTCTAGGCCACAAAGCTAGAAATTTTAAGAAATAACCTATATCTGTGATTTCTGGTTCTTTACAATAGTCCTTATATAGAATTATGAAAGGGCTTAAATTTGAGGAAAATAAGGAACTCATCCTTAAACTTTGAATATCTCTCCCAGTCCAATCACATCCACCTGCTTATCTGATAATTAAGGGAAAGACAAGAGGACAAGAAATGGAAGGGAAAAACAGAAGTAAAAAATAAGGAAAGATCTATTGAGTGCTTATTATATACTAGACTCTGTTCTTTGGGGCTTTATATGGGGTAGGCATAGCTCATTTGTTCACTACAACCTCAGTGTTAGTACATGATCATTTCCACTTTACAAATAAGAAAGCCAAACTACAACGAAACTTATCTAGGGTTAACAGTGGCAGAAACGGCAGAGCCAAGATTTGAACATAGAAAAGGCCAGTTCATGATCTGGTTGCTTAGCCATTACACTCTAGCTGTTACAGTATAGTATTTCATTCAGTCATAGAGAAGCAGATTTAAACTTATTTTTTTTTTAAAAGAGAGCTGATCCCTATCCCTATGTGAGAATTAAAATGCAAAGAAAGAAAGCAATAAAAATACTATAGCTATAGTAATACTTGCCTTTGAGTTGTGGTGTTGGAGGAGAATACTGAAAGTGCCATGGACTGCCAAAAGAACCAATAGATCTGTTTTGGAAGAAGTGCAGCCAGAGTGCTCCTTGGAGGCCAGGATGGCTAAACTTCATCTCTCCTACTTTGGACATATTGTCCGGAGGAAACAATCGCTGGAGAAGGATGTCATGCTGGGTAGGGTGGAGGGTCAGAGAAAAAGAGGAAGACCCCCAACGAGATGGATCAGCCAGGTGGCATCATTGATGGACTCAGGTGTGGCAGCGGTAGTAAGGTTGGCCCAGGATCGAACATTGTTTCGTTTTGCTGTGCATAGGGTCGCTATGAGTCGGTTCCGACTCGATGGCACCTGACAACAACAACAATAGTAATACTGGAAATCTGTCTTCTTTTATACTTATGTATATAATCAATGTTTAGTATGTATCCACACTGGTGTGGCACTGTAGGGTAAGCACTGAACTGTAAGGTTAGTTTGAACCACAAGGCTGGTGGTTCAAACCCACCAGCTGCTCCTCCGAAACGCTATACTGGGTTGCTATGAGTTAGAACCAACTCAATGGCACTTAAACACAAAAGTATGTGTCCACAGTAACAAAGCAGATTATTTGGGCAAAGGCTTTGAATTAACTGATTGTTCAGGGAAATGTTCATTTATTTTCAAGTATTTTGTAGTTGTACATTTTTTCATTGAGTAAAAGGGCAACTTTATTGATGTACCAGTAAAAATAGCATTTATTGAATACTTATAGTGTGCACTTGATACATATTCACAACCACCAGTGAAACAGTTTTCAATTCCTTTTCTTAGTTGGAGAAACCGAAACTAAAAAAGCTTAAATTACTTTCCTGTGATTATAATATAGCAAGGATTTAAGTCCTCTACTCAGGAGGGACCAGTCACTGGAGAAGGATATTATGTTTGGTAAGGTGGAGGGCCAGAGAAAAAGAGGAAGACCCCCAGCGAGATGGATTGGCAAACTGGCAGCATCAGTGGGCTCAAGCGTGGCAACAATTGTGAGGTTGACCCAGGATTGAGCAGTGTTTCATTCTGTTGTGCACAGGGTCGCTATGGGTCAGAATCAGCTCAACAGCACTTAACAACAACTTAGCCAATCTAAGGAACTCTGGTAGCGTAGTGCTTACAAGTCAGACTGCTAACCTTATGGTCAGCAGTTCGAAACTAGCAGCAGTTCCGTGGGAGAAAGATGAAGCTTTCTGCTCCCATAAAGATTTACAGCCTCAGAAACCCAATGCTGGGTCACTATGAGTTGGAACTGACTCCACGGCACACCACCACCACCACCACTTAGCCAATCTGCTGAGGTATGCTATGCTGCCTCCCTTATCTGCCTGCTAAGGAGTTCCTTCCATGTAATATATATAACTTACATTACCATGAGTAGGAGAACATAAACATATCTGCCCAAGAGGAACAAAAAAATCCAGACCACAGGACTCCACTATTAGGACTTTAAAACCATTAGATTAACATGATTTTAAAGCCTATAGGAAAAATTATCAAATGAACATTAAGAATTATACAAAAGCAATATATCACAATTTTGCAGCCAGTATTATATAATAATTGTATAACTGCAATGTTTTCTATTTAAGACAATTTCAGAATGTTACCAATTTAAATTCAAGTACACCAATAATGGACCAATAATGGACTTCATAAGGTATTGTCCTATAGTTTGTTTTTGCATTATAGACTACCACTTACTCATAGCTAAACTTCAGAATTAATTATAAACTTCTCACAGATTCCCAACTATCAAGGCATATAATACATACTTGGAGTAATTAATTATATACTATTTTAATTGTGGGAACAGAGCCAAAGAGTAGGAACCTACTGTATGCTTGCTTGATAATAAATATAACTAGCATCCATCATTTGTTTCATTTAGTACCTTTATAAAATGTATATTTAATTTAAATAAAATGGAGTTATTTGTTTATAATAATGATATTAGTGGCATTAGCTATATATTTTAATATAATAAAGACACATTTTGAATGATAACTTCCAACTTGATAATATAATGCTCTAATAGGAATCAGATCTTAAATAGTAAAAGAAATTGTGTGATTCTTTTCTAGTAAAACCCAAAACAACAGATCTAGCATGTCACCTGCTGACACCAAGAAAGCAAGTATGCTCCTTGTTCGCAAAATTTATGTTCTAATGCAAAATCTGGGACCTCTGCCTAATGATGTTTGTTTGACCATGAAACTTTTTTACTATGATAAAGGTACTATTTGTAAAACTTTTTTTTTTTTTTTTTAGTTAGTATCTGTAGGCTTGTTTATTATTGAAGCAATCAATTTCCATTCTAATTTAGATAAATGTTTTAAAACACCTAAGTTGTTATTATTTTTATAAATCATAAAATTTATATTTAATATCAGTATTTAAAAACTAAAGGTTCAAGTAAGTAGACTTTAAAATATATACAAACTTCTCTAGTGATAAAACCTATCCATGTAAGGTACAACCTCATTCAAAATCACAGAAATGCAACAGTGAGATACAGTTTTTTCACGTATCAGATTGGTAACACTTGCAAAACCATTATACTAGCAAAGGTGTTGGGAACCAGACATTTTTATACACTCTTTGGGGGACTGTACGAAGGAGTTTCAAAAAGTTTGTGGAAATTTTCCATTATCTTTTAATTCATTTTTCTACGAACTTAGGTATAACATTTGTAAAGGACAGTTTGTCAGTATGAAAATTTTGAATGCTTATTCTCTTTAATCCATGCAGTCTATGGCTATAAAAATAGTTTGAGAATATACTTGCACAAATATACAGGGTTATATATTATAAGTATGTTCAATATAACATTGGTTAAGATAGGAACAAACTATGAACAACCTAATTGCCAATCATTGAGGGATTAAATCAATTATAGTGTGATTATGATGTAATGGTTAGGTGTCATTCTGTCTAGTTGGTTCTGACACATGGTGACCCTGTGCACAACAACAAAATACTGACCAGTCCTGCACCATCCTTAAAATCCTTGTTACACTTGAGCGCACTGCTACTGCCACTGTGCCAATACTATGCATCCATTTAAAAGAATGTGTTGATAAATTAAGTTACCCAAGAGATATTAGTAAATTTAAAAAGGTACATACATAATAGTATGATCTCATTTGCATTCCTAAGGATGGAAATATGAGATCTTTTACATGCATAATATCTTCTAGAAGCACATAAAGCAACAATAATAATAAAAGCTAGCATTATGTGCTAGTTCTATTCTGGGCTTTTAATACATTTTAATTCATTTAATGCCCACAGTAAACCTATGAGGCTGTGTCACTGCTATCTAGTCCATTCTGACTCATAGTGACCCTATAGGACAAAGCAGAATCATCCATCGGGTTTCCAAGTCTGTAATCATATTTGAGGCAGACTGCCACGTCTTTCTCCCATAGAGCAGCTAGTGGATTTGAACTGCCAATCTTTTGGATAGCAGCTGAGCACCAACCAATGTGCTACCAGGGCACCTTTCCAATGAGATTGTTGTTAATTGTTGTCAAGTTAATTCCAACTCATAGCGACCCTGTATAGGATTTACAGGGAGCACCTGGTAGATTTGAACCAATGATTTTTTGGTTAGCAGTCCAGTGCTTATCCTACAGTGTCACACTAGGCAAGTACTATTATTTCCCCCATTTAACAGAGGAGGAAATCGAATCAGATATAATATATATAATTTGTTGAAGGTCACACAGCCAGTCAAGTTAAGAAAACAAAAGTTTAACTTTAGGAAATACAATGGGGTGATTTTTACTTCTTATTTTATGTCCTTCTATAGGTAGCCTAGTGGTTACAAGTCAGGCTGCTAACCTCAAGGTCAGCAGTTTGAAACTATCAGCTGTTCCATGAGAGAAAGATGAGGCTTTCTGTTTCTGTGAAGATTTATAGCCTCAGAAACCCTATTCAGGGTTGCTATGAGTCAGAACCGACTTCACTGCACACACCACCACCACTGTGGGTTGTTGTGCAAAGTTGGTTTGAACCGCAAGGTTGGTGGTTCAAGCTTACCAGCTGCTCCTGGGAAACTCTATACAAGGTCACTGTGAGTCAGAACCGACTCAACAGCACTTAACAACAACAACATACTATTTGAGGAGCCCTAGTGTGGCATCATAAGGAGCTCTAGTAGCGTAGTGGTTACGAATCGGCCTACTAAGCTCAGGGTCAGCATTTCAAAACTACCAGATGTTCCATGGGAGAAAGATGAGGTTTTCTGCTCCCGTAAAGATTTACAGCCTCAGAAACCCTGAACAGGGTTGCTATGAGTCAGAACCAACTCCACGGCACATAACCACCACCACCAATGTGGCACCATAGGATAAGCACTTGCCCTCAAGGTTGGTTTGAACCACAAGGTCGGTAGTTCAAACTCACCATTTGCTCCTCAGAAACCATATACAGGGTCACTATGAGTCAGAACTGACTTAATAGCACTTAACAACAACAGCAACATACTACTTGAGGAGCCCCAGTATGGCATTGTAGGATAAGCACTGAACTGCTAACTGTTGAAACCTACCAGCTGCTTCTGAGAAACCCTGTACAGGGTTGCTTTGAGTCAGAACCTACTTGATGACACTTAACAACAGTATTATTTGAAAGGAATCCTGGTAGTGCTGAAAGATAAGCATTGGGCTTCTAGCCAAAAGGTCTGCAGTTCAAACCTAGCAGTCACTTATCAAGAAAGAGAGTAGACTTTCGGCTCCTATAAATATTTATAACCTCAGAAACCTTATACAGGGTGCCTAGAGTCAGAATTGATTTCGATGGCAGTAGGTTATATGAAAAGAAGCTCTGGTGATGCAGTGGGATCAGCATTGGACACCTAACCAGAAGATCAGTGGTTCAAATCCACCAGCCAGTTCTCAGGAGAAAGATGAGACTGTCTGCTCCCATAAAGATTTAGAGCCTTGGAAATCCCATGTAGGATTCCTATGAATTGGAATGGACTAGATGGCAGTGGAGAAACCTCATAAGGTTTGGTTAATACTATTTTAAAAAGAGCCTTGATGGTTCAGTGGTTAAGTATTTGCCTGATAATTGAAGAGTGAACAGTTTGAACCCATAAAGTTATCCACAGGAGAAACAGGGAAGTGTGCTTTTGTAAAGATTGGAAACTGTGGACCTTTGGAAACTGGAGTATAGTACTACCAGTCACCATGAGTCAGAATTGATTTGACAGCAATGGGTCTCTGAGTTTTTTGTGTCTATATTGTTTGAAACTTCTTCAATCTGTACATATTTTTATAATGCTAATAGTTTTCTTCAATTTAATTTAAAAAGCGTAGATTATGCTTACTTTTTTTTGCAGTTACACCACCAAATTACCAGCCTCCCGGTTTTAAGGATGGTAATTGTGAAGGAGTGCTATTTGATGGGGATCCAATGCATTTAAATGTGGGTGAAGTTCCAACACCTTTTCATGCCTTCAGAGTAAAAGTGACCACTGAGAAAGAACGAATGGAAAGCATTGATTCTGATCTACTGTCACAAAAAGTATCATTGAAAACACCATTATACAAAATCCTGATGGATGATGAAGAGGAGTATTATGTAAATGTGAGTATTTAAAAAGTTATAAAGTACAAACCAAACCCACTGCCATCCAATTGATTCTGACTTACAGAAACTTCTATAGAGGGTTTCTGAGGCTATCAATCTTTATGAGAACAGAAAGCCTCATCTTTCTCCTATGAAGTGATTAGTCTGTTTTAACCACTGACTTTGTTGTTAGTAGCCTAACGCCTAACCCACAGCACAACCAGGGCTCCTTTATAAAATATAAGGGGGCTTCAAAAAGTTCGTGAAAAAATTCCATTCTCTTTTCATTTCATTTTTGCACAAACCTTTGGTAGCCCCCTCATACAGTAGTTTATATAAATAATACATTATAATAAGCTTAAAGAATGTGCTATTGGTACCGTAGAATGTTGCTCTGGTAGCGTAGTGGTTACAAATCGGCCTGCTAACCTTAAGGTCGGCAGTTCAAAACTACCAGCTGTTCCGCAGGAGAAAGATGTGGTTTTCTGCTCCCGTAAAGATTTATAGCCTCGGAAACCCTGTGCAGGGTCACTATGAATCAGAACCGACTCCACGGTGCTTAACAACAACTACTACATTGTTGCTAGATGCTGTCAAGTCGGTTCCAACTCATATCAACCCTGCACAGGATTTTTGAGGCTGTAAATCTTTACAGAAGCAAAAAGCCTCATCTTCTCCCAAAGCATGTTTAAGCCTGAGGTTTTCAAACATTTTACTTGTTTCAAGTAACATTATACTCAGAAACTTAAAAAAACAACTATTCTAATTGAAGCAGAGAATGGTCCTAGAGGCCCAGTCCCTCATTGCCTTACTTACCCTTATTGTGGACTCTGAGGAAACACCATGAACTTTGGAACATAATTCAAAAACTCTTGAATTTTTAGCACATCCGTAAAACTTAATGCTGGAATCCTTTTTACAACGTCTGTCCTAAGTGCTCATGATAAGTCGCTGTCCTGAAGCATCCTGGAAGTTCCTGAAAAACAGGAAATATATTTTGTATATTTTTGTAATCCTCCTTTTTACCTAGCTAGAAGTCCTGGTGGTACTATAGGATAAGAACCAGATGGCTAACTGCAGGTCTGCAGTTCAACCACACCAGCTGCTCCTCGGGAGAAAGATGAGGTTTTCTGCTCCTTCAAAGAGCCTTGAAAACCCATACAGGGTCTGAATTGTGAGTTGGAATTGACTCGATCGCAGTGACTTGGGTTTGGTTGGTCTACCTACCTAGCACTTAGATTTGTAATCAGTGGATTCGCAAGTATCGCCTGAATGAATAGAAAATAAGTGTTGTGTTTCTGTTGTTGTTTACCGTACACACAGCATATGTGAAAGCTAGCATTGCTTGAATTTTTCAGCATTAACCTGATGTTCATTAATCTCATATTATTTTCTCTTGTCTCATTTTATTCTAAATTATCACATTGGTACTAATGTAGAAAGGCTGACTCTTCTGAATTAGGATTGTGGCCACATCTTTACAAATAAAAGATTCAACTTACATCAACCAATTTCCCCAAAAAACCTAAATCCTAGTGTTGTTTTATGAATAAATATGGTGGTGGTGGTTATGTGCCATGGAGTTGGTTCCAACTCATAGCAACCCTGTACAAGGTTTTCAAGGCTGTAAATCTTTATGGGAGCAGAAAGCCTCATCTGGGATTTATTTAACATTCTTTGAAATATTTAAAGTTATTATAATTAGATGTTAAATCTGTTACTATTCCAATTATACCATGACTGACTTCCACTAACTCTATGACGACGGGGTATATTCAGCGTCTATCCTAACATTTATACAGAAACTACAGAAGTGGTAGCTTGTTGGATAAATATGTTGAATTTAATGCCCTCAAACAATATTAAGATCTAAGGAGTCCAGGTATAATGCTGTTAAGTTAATCACTGGACCACTAACTTCAATGTTAGCAGTTCAAACCCACCAGCTGCTCCTTGGAAACCCTATCTATACAGGGTCTCTATGAATCAGAAATTACTTGACAACACTTAACAACAAAGCTTCTTAGAATCACCAGACATTTTTGAGAAAAGTTACATATTTTCCTCATTTGTCCTTAAAGCAATGCCACAAAGTAGAGAAAAACAGCATTGTATACTTTGGATAAACAGGTTGCTGTTTTGTAGTAATTGTTGGATCACTGCTATCTCTAACATGTTTAGGCAGTTGTAGTGTTATGTTTTATTTAACTATAACATAAAACAAATGTGTTAATAAATACTTCCTTCTAATTGTTTTAATGTCTTTTTAAAATGTGTCCGTTTTTCCCCCCATATAATTATGTAGACGGATTTTGACACTGAAACTAAAATGAAAGAGGAAAAAAAAACCTCTGGATCTTCAGAATTTGGAGGTAAGAAGCTAGTGAAAATGTAGATTAAGTCAATTCCTATTCAGTTTTGCACATCTAAATTTTTTTTTTCCCCCAGATTGTGAGGAAGATGAAACTATGAGGTCTAAGGAGAGTACAGATATTTCAGTTTCTCATTCTCAGGTACAAACATCTTAGTTCCCATTTTACTTTTTAAAATATATTGTTTTTTATTGTGATAAAATATATATAACATGAGTCCTGGTGTGGTGCTGTGGGTTAATGCGCTGGACTGCAAAGTTGCTTTGAACCACAAGGTCAGAGGTTCAAGCTCACCAGCGCTTCTAAGAAACCCTCTACAGGGTCACTATGGGTCGGAACTGATGCAACAGCACTGAAAAACAACAGCATTTACCATTTGGGCCATTTTTAAATGCATGATTCAGTGATACAAATTAAGTTTACAGTGTTCAGCAACCATCACATTGCTTCTAAAATTTTCAGCACTCCTAACAAACTCTGTATCCATTAAGCAAAGCAGTAGCTTCTCATTCCTTCCTTTCCCAGCTCCTGATAAACTCTAATCTATTTCCTGCCTTTATAAATTAGCCTATTCTAGATAATCCATATAAGTAGGATCATATTATTTGTGTCTGACTTATTTCACAGCATAATCATTTCAAGGTTCATCCATGTTATAACATGTAATCAGAGCTTAATTCCTTTTTATGGCTGGATAATATTTCATTGTGAGAGCATGGTGGCTCTGTAGGATACACATGGGACTGCGAACTGCAAGGTTGGTGGTTTAAACCCACCAGCCACTTCATGAGAGAAAGATGAAGCTTTCTGCTCCTTACTATTTACAGTCTGGGAAACCCTATACAGGGTTTCTATGTGTCAGAACTAACACCACAGCACAAAATAACAACAGCAATATTCCATTGTATGAATGTACCACATTTTGTTTATCCATTCATCTGTTACTAGATGTTCGAGTTGTTTTCAACCTTCAGCTATTGTAAATAATGCTGCAATTAACTTTAGTGTAAAAGTTTCTATTGAGACCCTGCTTTCAATTCTTTTGGCTATATAACTAGTATTGGAATTGCTGAATGATTTGATAATTTCATGTTTAACTTTGTAAGGAACTGTAAACCTGTTTCCCACAACAATCCTTAAACTTTTTTTTTTTTTTTAAGGCTATTGTTTATTTACTTGCTTAGTTATTTCTCCAACTTTCTTATTCTAGGTTCTCTGGAAGAAAACAATGTATTTAGAATGCTTTTTTACTAACAAAATCTGGTTGAAAACTTTTTAGTATATTACTGGTAAATTTGCTTAATAATAAACCTAAATACTATTCAAGGGATCTCAAAATTTCAGAACTAGATAGAATCTTGCCATTATTATTAAGTGCTGTCAAGTCGATTCTGACTCATATGACCCTGTATAGGGTTGCCAAGGGAGTAAATCTTTGCAGGCGCAAAAAGCCTCATCTTTCTCCTGAGATAGAATCTCAAGGACTACTTATTCCACTCATTTTGTGTTTATAAATGGCATATGTAATACATTTTTGTTGCCTTAGAGCAGAACTTGTTAATATGCTTTCCATGTACAGTGACCACCACTTGCCTATCAGTTTATCATACTGTGATGGCTTGTGTGTTGCTGAGATCCTGGAAGCTATGCCATGGGTATTTTCAATGCCAGAAGGTTCACTCATGGTGGACAGGTTTTAGATAAGCTTCCAGACAAAGACAGATTAGGAAGAGAGATGGACTACTTCCAAATATTTAATCATTGAAAAGCTTATGAATAGCAATAGAACAATGTCAACACCAGATTATTTAATATTGAAACATGATGAAAAGCACCCGAATATTATCAGATATAGTGCTGGAAGATGAGACCCTCAGGTTGGAAGACACTCAAAATGCAACTGAGGAAGAGCTGTCTCTTCAAAGTACAGCTGACTGTGATGATGAGAATGGAATAAAGCCCTTGGGGCCTTCATTTGCTGATGGGGTGCAATGCAAAATGAGGAGAAACTGCTTTAGGCATCCATTAATAATCAGAACACATAATGCATGAAGTAGGACTCTAGAAAAAGTGGAAATTGTCAAAAAATGGAATGTATAAACATCAGTATCCTAGGCACTAGTGAGCTAAAATGGACTGGTATTGGCCATTTTGAACCTGACAATCACATGGTTTACTATGCCAGGAATGACAAATTGAAGAGGAATGGAGTTGTATTCATCATCAAAAAGAACATATCAAGATCTTTCATGAAGTACAACACTGTCTGTGATAGGATAATATCCGTACACCTACAAGGAAGACCAGTTAATACTGCTTTTATTTAAATTTACAAACCAATCACTAAAGGCAGTGATGACGAGATCGAAAAATTCTACCAATTTATTCAGTCTGAAATTGATTAAACATGCAATCAAGATGTATTAATAACTACTGGCAATTGGAATGCAAAGGTTGGAAACAAACAGGAAGCATCAGTGGTTGAAAAATATGGCCTTGGTGATAGAAACAATGCTGGCAATCACATGATAGAATTGTGCAAGACCAATGACTTCTTCATTGCAAATACCTTTTTTAAAATACATAAAAAATTATTATATACATGGACCTCACCAGATGGAGTACACAGAATTCAAATTGACTACATCTGTGGAAAGAGACTGTGGAAGACCTCCATATCATCTGTAAGAACAAGGCTAGGGGCAGACTGGGGTACAGACCCTAAATTGCTTATATGCAAATTCAGGCTGAAGCTGAATAAATTTTATTTAAATCCACAAGAGCCAAAATATGACCTTGAATATATCCCACCTGAATTTAGAGATCCTTTGAAGAACAGATTTGATGCATTAGATACTAAGACCAAAGAACAGAAGAGTTGTGGGATGACATCAAGAACATCATAGAGGAAGAAAGCAAAAGATAATTAAGAAAATAAGACAGAAGGAAAAGACCAAAATGGGTGTCAGAAGAAACTCTGAGACTTGATTTCCAGCATAAAAATGCTAAACAAGTGAGGAAGTACAAGAGTTGAACACAGAATTTCAAAGGTCAGCTTGAGAAGACAAAGTCAAATACTACAATGAAATATGCAAAGACCTGGAATTACAAAACCAAAAGGAAAGGGGAAAACAAGCTCAGCATTTCTCAAGTTGAGGGTGCTGAAGATAAAATTCAAACCTCGATTTGCAATATTAAAAGATTCTATGGGCAAATTATTGAATGATGCAGAAAGCATCAAAAGAAGATGGAATATACAGAGTTACTGTATCAAAAAGAAATGGTCAATGTACAACCATTTCAAGAGGTAGCATAGGATCAATAGCCAATGATCCTCAAGGAGGAAATCTAAGGTACATTGAAAGCATCAGCAAAGAACAAGGCACCAGGAATTTATGGAATACAAATTGAAATATTTCAAGAAACTGAGGTGGCACTGTTTCTATACCAAGAGATTTGGAGGACAGATACCTGGTCAGCTGACTGGAAGAGCTCAATATTTGTGCCCATTCCAAAGAGAGGTGACCCAACGAAATGCAGAAGTCATCAGACAGTATCATTGGTATCCCATGCAAGTAAAGTTTTATAACATAATGCAAAAATAGCTGCAACCATACATTGACAGAGAAATTCCTGAAGTTCAATCCAGATTCAGAAGAGGACGTGGAACAAGGAATATCATTGCCAACGTCAGATGGATCCTGGCTGAAAGCAGAGAATACCAGAAAGATGTTTACTTGTGCTTTACTGACTACGCAATGACTTTTGATTGTGTGGATCATGACAAGCTATGGACAACATTGTGAAATATGAGTCTTCTGGAACACTAAAATGAGCTCATGAGGAACTTGTACATACACCAAGTTTGAACAAAACAAAGGAACACTGAATGGTTTAAAATTAGGAAAGGTGTGTGCCACAATTGTATTCTTTCACCATACTTATTCAGTCTGTATGCTTAGCAAATTATCAAGCAGCTGGGTTATATGAAGAAAAACGTGACATCAGGAATAGAGGAAGACTCATTAACAACCTGCGATATGCAGATGATACAACCTTGCTTGCTGAAAGTGAAGAAGGCTTAAAACACTGACGAGAATCAAAAACCACAGCCTTCAGTATGGGTTGCATCTCAAAGTAAATAAAACAAAAATCCTTATCATTAGACCAATAAACAATATCCATATAAATGAAGAAAATATTGAAGTTATCAAAGATTTCATTTTTCTCGGGTCAACCATCAACACTCATGGAAGCAGCAGTCAGGAAATCAAACAACGTATGCATTGGGGAAATCTGTGGCATAAGACCTTTTTAAGTTGTTGAAGAGCAAAGATGTCAGTTTGAGGACTAAGGGGTGCCTGACCCAAGCCATGGTATTTTCAATAACATCATATGCATGTGAGAGTTAGACAGTGAATAAGGAAGACCATAAAAGAATTGATGCGTATGAGTTATGACATTGGAGGAGAATATTGAAAGTACCATGGGCTGCCAAAAGAACAAACTGATCTGTGTTGGAAGAAGTACAGCCAGAGTGCTGCTTTGAAGCCAGGATGGCCAAACTTGTCTCTCATACTTTGAACATGTTATCAGGAGGGACCAGTCACTGGAAAAGGATATCATGTGTTGTAACATGGAGAGTCGGAGAAAAAGACAAAGACCCCCAACGAGATGGACTGGCACAGTGGTGGCAGCAATGGGCTCAGAAGTAGCAATGATTGTGAGATTGGCCCAGGAGCAGGCAGTGTTTCATTCTGTTGCGCATAAGGTTGCTATGAGTCAGTATTAACTCTATGGCACCTAACTACTACTACTACTATATACAGTGAAATCCTATAATATATTTACATCAAATTAATTTGGAAATAATGGGATTTGATGATTATGTAACTACTTCTGTCCTGCTGCTTTCTTAAATGGCAGAGGACTAAATTCCTAAGTTTTGGAAGAGTAATGCCTAATGATCATTTGGGACTTTTCAGTTCTGTGATGGGTCAATTGTGTAGTTTCAGTTTTATTATCTTTACTTTTGTGCTTTTTATGTTATGTGGTTTTGTTTATTATAGGTTTTTGGTTTTTTTTTACTGAATTTTATTTATTTTGCTGTTGTTGATACTTGCAAAAATGACATGACATGGAGGCCATACCTAACCTCCAACTTCATAATGGGGAAGAAGAATCAAACTCTACCATCATCCTGATTCCTATATAGGCAGAAGACAACATGCCTCATCTTCTTTTTTTTTACCCTATCAGGACACCAACAATTCCTCCCACACCTCTTTCTGCTTCTTTGCATGGTTCAATAATCTGTTGCAATATTCACATAGAACTCACAGATAATACTCACGATTATGGGGTTTATTAGGGAAGTGAACATGGTACAATTCAGTATATAATTCAGAAACATCACAGGAAATAGCAGTTCTCTGGTCAGGAATGCCTCTTCTCAGGTCTACTGCAGGCTTGCCTCACTCTTGTCCTCAGCCTCAGCCACAATGCCCCTTGCTGTTCCTCACTTGGGGAAGTGTTAAAAGGCTGTTAGTGATGTCTGTAAATGCCCAAAAAGCACATTCTGAAAGTTTGAAGGCACTCAGCTTTACTCTGTCTGTGTGCCAGAAAGCCCTCTGCTCTCTCTTTCCATGCTGCTGCTTCTGCTACCACCTCTGTGGTCACTATCTCCACAGGGACTTTGTGGTGTAAAGGACACACTCTGCTCTTGGCTTTCTGTTTTCAGTGGTCTTGGGATCCTCTGTTCCCACTTCTGAGAGCGCTTATTTTTAAACCTAACAGGATAGCAAAACTAATCAATCCCACATTAGTGCCCTGTGCAACCTATTTGCATGGTCCCACCCAGTCATTTGGTGGGAGTTACAAAAACTATGGTTGTTGTTGTTGAGCCATAATTTGTTGTACCAAAAGACTGCACAGCAAAACATACACCAATTTAACATTTTCCATGTATACAATTCAGTGACATTGATTACATTCTTTTGAGTCATCTCACTCACTTTTTCTGAGTTGTTCCTCATTAATATAAATTTACTGTCCCACTAATAATTCAAGTTGCTGTTATCCATTTGATCCTATCTAGATGTGGCACTGTGGGTTAATGCGCCAGACTGCAAAGCTGTTTGAACTGCAAGGTTGGCAGCTCAAGCTCACCAGTTGCTCCTCAGAAATCCGATACTGGCTCGGTATGGGTCGGAATAGACTCTACAGCACTTAACAACAACAACAAAAGATAGTTCTTAAAGGAGCCCTGGTAATGTAGTGGATTACGAGTTGGGCTGCTAACTGCAAAGTCAACAGCTCTAATCTACAGCCACTCAGGAGAAACAAGACTTTCTGCTCTTGTTAAGATTTACAGCCTCAGAAACCCTACATGGGGTCACTATGAGTCAGAACCAAGTTGACGGCACACAGCCACCACCAGATAGTTCTTTAAAGAGCATAATACTCAAGGCAGACCTTTTTTTTTTTCTTTTTGACTAGTTAAACTAAACTGTTATTCAGCTCTAGAATGACTTCAGGTTTAAGGTTTAAAGATTATCTCATAGCAGTAGTTTCAGAGGTTCATTTACCTATACACACATACCATAAAGTCTAGAGTCCATGAGAATTTGAAATTCTAGTCTACATTTTCCCCTTTTGATCTGGATTCTTCTGTGATCAAAATATTCATCAGTGGTAGCTAGGCAGCATCCAGTTCTGGTCTTATGACAAAGGAGGCAGTTGTTTATGGAGACAATTAGCTAAATATACCATGTCTTCCTCTTATTTCTTCCTCTATTGCTCCAGGTATATAGAGACCAATATTTTTGCCTTTGATTTTTTGTTACATGGTTTTGTATAATTATCTTCTCTTTTAGGTTGAGCAACTAGTCAGTAAAACATTTGAACTTGATGTGTCTGAAGGCAAAACAAGAAGTGGAAAAATCTTTCAGAATAAGATGGTAAGTATCGCCTTAGGTTTGTTCTCCACTCTAACTTTGTGATATCCCCCTATATGATGTTCCCATATGTAAGTTTATTATGATTTTTAGTACTTCAGTTATTAATCCAATATTTATTAAGCACCTATTATATTATATATATGATACATATTATATTATGTATCAGGTACTCTACTAGGTGCTGGGAATATAAGCTAATAGCATATAGTTCCAGGTTTTAGCTAAAAATTTAGTAACTGGAAGCAAACAAGCAGTGAGATAGAACTATGATAGAAAGAAGACTGAATACGCTACATGATTGCACAAAGGACAGAACAGTTTATTTTACTGAATGTGCAGTAGAGCAGAATGCAGGAAAGGCTTTGAAAAGTGACTCTGTCATTTAGACTCCCAATGTCCTGTTGTTGTTGTTGTTAAGTGCCGTCGAGTCGGTTCCGACCCATAGAGACCCTGAACAGGGTTTCTGAGGCTGTAAATCTTTACGGGAGCAGAAAGCCTCCTCTTTCTCCCGCAGAGCAGCTGGTAGTTTCGAACTGCTGACCTTGTGGTTCGTAGCCTGATTCATAACCACTACACTACCCAAAATGTTCCCATGCTCTAGCTTGTAAATTTATCATCTTGCTAATAAGGTATTATAAAATAATGTTTTATATATAACTTGTATAAATTGAATCTTACATTCTTAAACCAAAAGCATCACTGCTTTCGTTCAGTTTCTGGTATGAATTAATATTTTATTTTAGAACTTTAAGCTACTTTCAAAGGTTCAGGGATGAAGAAAAAGCATTTGTAAAATATGTAAAATATGACATCCAAATATTACTATCAGTGATGTGTTAGAGCTGGATTATAAAAGTTGCTTAGCATTTCTTCCAGACTCCTCATTCAATAACATCATGTTGGTAGCTTGAAATTTAACATGGTGGGAGTATATACAGCACAAAAATCATCAAGTGCCTCAGATCATAGTTTTATTTTTGTTTTGTTTTATTTTTTGTCTCAGAGTAGTTGCTAAACATTGCTAACATACAACTGATTATAGTGCCTTTTTAAGGTGCATCTTTTTTTTACACTCTCAGTGGGGAGTTAGAGCTAGCAATAAGATAGCATTCAAACTAGTACGTAGATGAAAACACTACCACTACCACCATCCTTTACTAGGAAGTGCAGTGGCTTCACAGGATAAGCACTGGACTGTGTACTACAAGGTCAGCAGTTCAGGTCTATCAGCCATTGTGCAGGAGAAAGATGAGATTTTCTGTTCCCACTAAAGATTTACAGCCTCAGAAACCCTATACAGGGTTGTTATGCGTCAGAATTGACTCAATGGCACTTAACAACAACAATCCTTTAGTAAAATATGTTGTTGTGCACTGCTGTCTGCTCAGTTTAAAATCATAGCCACCCTATATAGGATCTCTGAGGAGTGACTGGTGGGTGGGTTTGAACTGCTGACCTTGCAGTTAGCAGTCCAGTATTTATCCTACAACATCACACAAGGACTAAGAGTATAAGGAGGAATTCCTTGTAATGTAATATTAAGATGTTTAGGGGACATAAATTCATTTCTGAAATTGCCCTTGTTTTTGTTTATGAGCCAGAGTGCTCTTGATTTTGAGAAACATGAATGACTGAATTACAGTTAGGAAATGACAAAAAATTAAAATACGTAATAACGTTTGTACTATGGAAATAATTATTGAAAAGGCATTTTTTTTCTTTAACATGTTATTGTGCTTAGGTGAAAGTTCACATAACAAATAATTTTCCAATCATAGTTCATATACAAATTGTTCAACGATATTGGTTGCAAACTGGCCCCCCTCGCAATGTGTCAGTACTCTCTCCATTTCCTCCCTGAGCTCCCTGTTTCTATTCATCTGGTTTCCTTATCATTCCCTGCCTTCTCGTCTTTGGTTTTGGCAAATGTTGCCCTTTTGGTCTTGGATAGTTGATGCTCTAAGGAGTAGGTTCTTCTTGGATATTATTGTTTATTTTATAGGCCTGCCCTGGTGTGGTGCTGCTGTAGGATAAACACTGAGCTACTAACCACAGGGTCAGCGGTTCAAACCAATCAGTTGCTCCTTGGAAACCCTATACAGGGTCGCTATATGTTGGAATCAACTTTAAAGCACTTACCAATAACATCTGTTATTTGGCTGAAGGAGCACAATGGCTCTGTATAAGCATGTTACTTTGAACCACAAGGTTAGAAGTATGAGCCCACTAGCCGCTCCATGGGAGAAAGATGAGACTTTCTTCCCCCTCAAAGATTTAAAACCTCAGAAACCTTATATGGGTCACTGTGAGTCAGTATTGACTTGATGACACTTAACAACAACATTCGATGGCTGAGACGTACTCTTCAGGAATGTCATCAGTTTCAAGTCTAAGGGATTTCTAAATCTTAGGGGTTCTTCCAGTGTCTTTCAGACCAGTAAGTTTGGTTGTTTTCATTGTTGTTGTTCTATATTTTCTAACTTTCTAACTGGGACCTTCTACAAGATGGGGTTCAAAGAGTTCATAGAAAAATTTCATTTTCCAAGAACTTTTTGGAGCCCCATCGTACTGTGATCCTGGTCAGTGGGGTAGTGGAGCTGTGTACCATCTAGCTCTTCTGATTTCAGGTTAGGGAAGACTGTGGTTCATTTGAGCTATTAGTACTTTGGACTAACCACTTTCTTGAGTCTTCAGTTTTCTTCATTCTCCTTTGCTCCAGGCAAGAAGAGACCAATAATAGTTGCTCACAAGCTTTAAGATTCCAGATGCTACTCACCAGATTGTTGTTGTTATTAAGTGCCATTGAGTCAGTTCTGATCCATAGTGACCCTGTATAGGCTTTCCTAGGAAGGCTGGTGAGCTTGAACCACCGACCTTGCGGTTCAAAACGGCCTTACAGTCCAGTGCATTAACCCACAGTGCCACATCAGGACTCCACTCACCAAATTAGTACATTATTTTTATGAACTGTGTTTTGCCAGCTGATCTAGATGTCCACTGAAACAGTGGTCCTTAGACTTCAAGTTTAATAGTTTAGTTCTGATGTTTAAGTAGTTTCTATAATTGTGTTTTATTATATATGTGTTCTAAGAGACTCCTGGTGTGGTGCTGTAGGATCAGCAATGGACTGTGAATCACAAGGTCGACAGTTCAAACCCACTAACTGTTCTTGGAAACCTTATGTAGGGTTGCTATGAGTTATAACCGACTCAACGGCACCTCACAACAAAAATTATATATATAAGTATGTTGTTGTTGTTATGTGCTGTGGAGTTAGTTCCAACTCATAGCGACCCTATACAGGGGTTCTGAGGCTGTAAATCTTTACAGGAACAGAAAGCCTCATCTTTGTCCCGCCGAACAGCTGACCTTGCGGCTCGCAGCTGGATTCGTAACCACTACGCTAACAGAGCTCCATATATACGTTGTTATTGTTAAGTGCTGTCAAGTTGATTCCAACACATAGTGACCCTATACAGGGTTTCCAAAAAGCATCTGGTGGGTTGGAATTGTCGACCTTGCAGTTTAAACCGACCTTGCAGTCCAGTGATTATCCTATAGTACCACACCAGGACTCCATATATATGGAGCCTCAAGATCGGTGGATCTGTGGTTCACACCCATCACCTATTCCTTGAAAACCCTATACAAGGTCACTATGAGTCGGAACCAACTTTATGGCACTTAACAACATAAATGTGTGTGTATGTGTGTATGTGTACATATATATGTGTGTGTGTGTGTGTGTGTGTTAAGTGCTGTTGAGGTGGTTCTGACCTGTGGCAACCAATGAACGGCTGGTGGTTTTAACCACTGACCTTGTGGGTAGCATTCCAGTGCTTATCCTACATTGCCACACCAGGATCCTATATACATATAGCTATATGTATAAGGAGCTCTGGTAGTGTAGTAGTTACAAATCGGGCTGCTAATCTCACGGTCAGCAGTTTAAAATGACCAGTGGTTCCATGGGAGAAACATGGGACTTTCTGTTCCTGTAAAGATTTGCATCCTCAGAAACCCTATACAGGGTTGCTATGAATCAAGACAGACTCCATGACACATAACCACTGCCATATATGCAATATTTAAGAAGCTCTGGTAGAATAGTGGTTATGAGTTGGGCTGCTAAACTCAAGATCAACAGTTCGAAACTACCAGCTATTCTGTGGGAGAAAGATGAGACTTTCTGCTCCTATAAAAATTATGGCCTCAGAAATTCTATACAGGGTCGCTATGAGTCAGAACTCCACAGCACAGAACCAATCAAACAACCAATGCAATATTGATAAATATATATGTAGAAATAGCCACAACTATACCTATATATGGAGTCCTGGTGTGGCACTGTGAGTTAACACACTGGACTGCAAAGCTTGTTTGAACTCCAAGATTGGCAGTTCAAGCTCACCACCTGCTCTTCAGAAACCCTATGCAGGTTCAGTCACTATGGTTCAAAACTGACTCAACAGCACTTAACAACAACAACAACATACCTATATATGGAGTCCTAGTGTGGCATTGTGGATTAATTCACAAGACTGCAAGGTCAGTTTAAATAGCAAAGTCAGAGGTTCAAGCTTACCAGCCGCTCCTCAAAAATCCTATACAGGTTTGCTATGAGTCAGATCTGACTCGACAGCACTTAACAACAACATACCTATATATAAGGTTGTTGTTGTTAAGTGCCATCGAGTCAATTCTGATCCATAGTGACCCTGCATAGGGTTTCCAAGGAGCCGCTGGTGAGCTTGAACCACAGACCTTGCAGTTCAAATGGCTTTGCAGTCTGGTGCATTAAATATAAGCTGGGCTGCTAAACAGGAGGTCAGCAATTCAGATGTACCAGCAGCTATACAGGGGCCAAAAAAAAGAGGCTTTCTGCTTCTGTAAAGATTTACAGCCTTGGAAACCCTATACAGGGTCACTATGAGTCGGAACTGACTCATTGGTACATAACCACCACTCATTGGTACATATGGAGTCCTGGTGTGGTTCTGTAATAATAAGCACTGGACTGCTAATCACCAGGTCAATGGATCAAACCCACCAGCCACTTCTCAGAAACTCTATACAGGGTCACTATGAATCAGAACCAAATTGACAGCATTTAACAACAACAACAATACCTATATATAAGGATCCCTGGTAGCATAGTAGATTACAAACTGGGCTTCTAACCACAAGGTCAACAGTTCAAATCTTCTAGTCACTCCACTGGAGAAAGAAGAGACTTTCTGCTCCTGTAAAATTTATAGCCTCAGAAACACTATAAAGGGCCATTTTTAGTTGGAACAAACTCAATGGCACAAAACTACCACCACCATACCTATATATGAATGCAGGTGTATTCCCATATGACATCTATAAAAGGGCATTTTAAGTGTCAGAAAATAAATGTTTCCTTTTCAAGGTTACTAATATGATAGTTAATAGCTTGTCATCATACAAGATTCATTTATAAACTGCATATGGTCGTGTACGTTTGAAAAAATCAAGCATTGGCTGTTCTTTCTTTATGGAGGCTAATGGAAATCAACCAGTAAAATCTCTTAAAGAAAATCGGAAGAGAAGTCTACCTAAATCTGGAAAAACAGTAAGTCTCATGATAATATGTATGCTGAATCAAATGGCAAATATAAGAATATAGTCAGTTTAGATTAAGATTAAAATGATAAATATATTTACATAGACTTCAGAACTCTGATTTTAAAATATTGTTTAAATATATTTTTTTCTTTAAAATGAGGTAGTTTTAAATAAGATGTACAAAGTTGACTCATTAATTTTTTCATGTAGTTATTAAGGAGCTCTGGTGGTGCAGTGGGTTAAGCCTTGGGCACTAATGAAAAGGTTGGTGATTTGAACCCATTTTTCCATGGAAGAAAAGTGAGGCAGTCTGCTTCTCTAAAGATTTACGGTCTCAGAAACCCACTGGAGCTGTTCTACTCTGTCCTATAGGTTTGCTATGAGTCAGAATCGACTCAGTGGCACTGGGTTAGATATTTACTGCCTTATTACTTGAATTATTTGAAGTAGTTAGAGGAATCTATAAAATGAAAATCAGTGTCAGGAAAAGTATGAGTAAAAAGGGTGCTTTAAAAAAATTGCAGGCGATTTTGTTAATTCAGAGCTAAAGTTGTGCCCAGAGTGGCACAAACAATTAAGCACTCAATTACTAGCAAAAAAAAATTGGGGATTCAAACCCACCCGGAGGCTCTTTGAAGACAGATGTGCTTCTGAATGGTGACAGCCTTCAAAACCCTATTGTTGTTGTGTGCCGTGGAGTTGGTTCTGACTCATAGCGACCCTGTACAGGGTTTCTGAGGCTGTAAATCTTGACGGGAGCACAAAGCCTCCTCTTTCTCCCACGGAACAGCTGGTAAAACCCTATGGAGCAGTTCTATTCTGTATACAAGATGTTGCCTGGAGTCAGAATTGACTCAATGGCAACTAATAACAAAATGTGCCACATATTTGATCTGAGTTTTATAGAGGCCAAAACTAAAGTGGAAACAAGGAAGTTGCTAAATTCATATGTTCCCAAAAATATATAGAAGGAAAAAAACACCTCTTCATGACCTAAGTCCTGTGACAGGTAAGTACTTAACATTTCTGAGATAAATATTCATATTAATTTTTCTGACTAGAATTTTTAGTACTAGTAGGTTAAAATTAGATATTCCAGATCTTAAGAATGTTTTTAAAAATTCAAAGGTTAGAGGTGATTTCAAAAATGTAATTGGTTAATACTGTTTTCAATTTGCATAACTTAAGGGAATGGAATAACTTGACATTCCAGTATTATTTTTAAGTTCTTTAATTTTCCCTAATTATTAAGCCTTGATATTCTGAAAAATCATAACCCAATTTATAGTCCCTAATGAGTTTGACTTTTTCCTTGGAAACACAAATTCAGTAAGAAACCCAGTGAATCTTAATATATGTTCCCTACGATTGACCCAAGCCATGGTATTTTCAATAACCTCATATGCATGCGAAAGTTGGACAGTGAACAAGGAAGATCATAGAAGAATTGATGCTTTTGAGTTATGGTGTTGGAGGAGAATATTGAAAGTACCATGGGCTGCCAAAAGAA